AACAATAAAATCCATTTTCAGTTTGAAGTTTCTTTTGGCATCATTGAGTCGTTCCATGGGTGGAATAATGTTCGTTTCGATGTCGCTTGGAAATGCTTTCGTGTTAATCATTTAATGATGCTGATCACACACAATGACAAGGCATCCTGGGAAAAATTAATTAATTTTTTTCTTCTTCTTCATACTCAAGGTCATTCCTGGAATGTGGTTGCAGAAAACTGGACATAGTGGGGGAGGGAATTGAAAACGAAAATTTGATTTAAAAGGCTGAAGATCACAGGGAAGTTTGAGGCCAACACTTGGCTTGGTGTAGCGCAATACTGCAACAAATCTGAGACCAATAAGCCCGAAAAATGTTATCAATACGAAATTTTCGTGAAGACAGTATACAGGGTGAGATAAAAAACTTGCAATCAATTTTAGACTGCTGTAATTTTTAAGCCACTCGTCCGACAGCTGTTAAAATTATTCCAGTGACAGCTCATTATATTGTTTACAAGCGTACAAAAGCATTTTGCTGAGAATTTTCGAGAAAAGAAGTTATTCGTGATGGAATTCAAGCGTGATAGGATGATTTCTTTATATTTGGCTGGAAAACCGCAAGTGGCTATCGTTAGATCACTCCTGCATTTAAATGTGGATAAATCTTTTGTGTCTCGTACCATCGCTCGTGGCCGTGATACTGGTAGCGTAGCCCGACGTCAAGGAAGTGGACGGAAGAAAACAGCAAGATCTTCAGAATTGGTTTGAAAAGTAAAGATGCGACTTGATCGAAAACCGCTTCGCAGTGGCCGAAAAATGGCTCGTAAGCTAAACATATCGCAATATTCCATTCGGCAAATATTGAAAAATGAGCTCGGGGTAAAGCCATTGAAATTCCAAAAAGGCCAAGAACTTACATCGCAACTGAAAGAAAATAGACTCGAAAAGAGCTAAAGAGTTGCTTCGCTTGGCCGAAAGTGATGAACTGCCCAACATCGCACTCAGCACTCGCCACCCAAGAATGGTTACACAATGAGGTTCCTCGCCTTATTCCAGAGCAAAATTGCCACCAAAAACCTCCGGATATCAATCCGTTGGACTATTGTGTCTAGAGTATTTTGGAAAGCAAGGTTGGTACTAAAAAATACCAAAGTGTCGATCACCTCAAACAAGCGCTTCGCCGGGAATGGGCCATAATACCGCAGAGCAACAAAGGCCAAAATACCTCAACAAAATGAGGTTGCTCGCTCCGTTTCCAGCGCACAATGGCCACCAAAATCTCCGGATACCAATCCGTTGGACTATTGTGTCTGGAGTATTTTGGAAAGCAAGGTTGGCACTGAAAAGTACCAAAGTGTCGATCACCTCAAGCAAGCACTTCGCCCGGAATGGACCAAAATACCGTAGAGCAACATATGTGCAGCGTGTGACGGTTTCATTGCACGTTTGAAGGCCATAATTCGTGCCAAAGGTAACCAATTCGAACAAATCTAAACTTATTCTAAAATTTGATGCTATTTCCGACATTTTTCTCTTTCATTCATTGAAATTAAAAAAAAAAAAATAAAAATTATGGCTTTTGACTTTGTTGCATTTTTTTTTATTTCACCCTGTATATTCATGCTTTCCTCTCGGGTTGTTTTAAAACAATCGTAGATGACCTTTCAAAAGTTCTCATAGATAAAACAACTACCGTAGATTTTGACTGTAATTTTAATATGGAAGATAGAATACCCTTCCATGGGTATCTCATAGAATGAAGGCCTGGTATTTTATATAAGATTTCTTACAAATCCATAAGTCTTCTATAAAGTAGACCAAAAGCAAGTTTTATCTGAGCCTTTCATAGATAGAAGACATTAGACATACGACACTCCATAGGTATTCTATAAACAGAAGTCTATGGGGCTTTCATAAGTCTTTAATAGTATCCTATTAGGTAAGGTGCTGTTTAGAGCTTTATATAAATTTTTGATAGCTCCTTGTGTATAGTTTATCAGGGCGTATGAAATAACTCATACGTCGACATGGACACTAGACAGAAGCAATTCAAAAGTAAGAAATGTACCCTACAACGTTCCCCCACGAGAGATTTTTAAGGCAATCAAAAGTCACGGGTCTTCCCTATGGAGAACAACTTCTAGTCCCATACAGCACTGAAAGAGCTTTTATTTTATTTCTAAGAGAAAAGTTTTTATTTGGTCTTTCAGCATAAGCTTTAAATCTGACCGGATGACGTATTGATTTTCAGAGTCCATGTTAGAACATTGAAAATAGATATTCTGAAGTGTTCTACAGACAGACAACATTCCATGGGCCTTTTATGAGTAGAAATAGGCATTCGATAGACCTTCCATAAGTCTAGGGTGCATTTTACACCTTAGGATACTTTTTTTAAAGTAGAACTTTCCTAAGTATTCTATAGTCAAAACAACTTACAGACATCTTCCATAAATATGAAAACTTGTATGGGCCCACTCTAAACCGAACTTCTTTCATAGGCCTTGCGTGGACAGAGGACTCTTTACAGGTGTTAAATACGCATGCTACCTTCCAAGTAATTTCTATATGCAATTAACCTTCCAAAAATCTTCTCTGAACAGTATTAAAAATATTTCGGATTGAAGAACGATATAGGGCCTACTTTTAATGGAAGTCTAAGCATAGGATTTGTTTCTGTAAAAATCCCATGGAAGCTTCACTATTGTATAAGATTTACAAAAGATTGATCTACAGAAGAAAATATAGCCCAGCTTCTATAGTATCAATAGCAGAACCACAGAAGGTTTTCAACGTAGCGAAGAGCAATGAAGTGTTATTTGTACAGAAGAATAATTGAGGTCTCTATATTTTATAAGTCCATTGGGGGTCTTCCGTCTGTAGAAGTTCGTGTGTCTATTAAAGACCTTTGTATGATTTTCTATTTACATAAGAGCTATGGAAGGTCGTCTGTCTATCGTGGACCCATTTGTCTGTAGAAGAGGAATGAGGGGTTTATGTCTATGATAAAAATGAAGAAGACCCTGTTCTACTATCTGTTCTATCTGTCTACTGAAGATCCGTGGATGATATTCTGTCTACAAGAGATCCATGGCTGGTCTCCGGTATTCAGAGGATCCATGGAGGGTAATCTGTCTTCATAAGATCAATGGTGATTTCTATATACCTTACATAGACGACCTCCTGTAGGATTTCTATAAACAAAATAGTCTCCATGGGCTTATATAAATAAAAGGACTTCTGACGCTATTCTATAGACAAGCTACCTTTCATAAGTCTTCTTTATTTAGAATCACCTTCCAATCGTCTTCCCTAAAAAAGGATGATTTTCCATGATTCTTCTGTAGACAAAACCAGCAAAGAAAGGTCAAAAGTCGGTCGTAGCCGACTTTATGATACCCTTCACCAATATGGATATTTAGTAGAGCTACCCGTAACAAATAAACGTTTGTATTGAGAATTTATTACTTCGAGAAGGAATTATAAAGGAATAAATATATATCGGAGCAATAGATGTTTGGGAACCGAGTCTCAACAAATGTTATATTTGCTTCCAGGATAAATTCAGTTGAATGTTCAAAAATCTACTCAATTTGAGCTGGTATTATATATTTGCTGCACAATAACCGTCAAATCGGATAAAGATATGTATGAAAGCTATATCCAAATCTGAACCGATCTCGATGAAATTTGCCAGGGGTATCTCTGTAGTATCTGGACCAACTATAATTGTTTGCGGTGTGCATATTACGAATGTGAGGAATTTAAACACCAAATCGGATGAAACATGTATATAAGAACTATAGCTATATCTGAACCAATTTGCACCAAAATGCTGGACTGACCTGGTCGTGTGAGTTAAAATATATTGCAATCGGATTGGTATTACGCAATACTTATAAAATCGGCAGACACTATATGTGGGAACTGTATTAACATTTGATTCGATTATCATCAATTCCTATAGGTTTCGTCCATTGGCCCAAGGAAATGATTTGTGGGAAATTTTATCTCAAGCAGATTATAAATGCGACCTGTACTTTGTTTACAAAAATACATGGACAGACAGACGGACAGAATGTGATACTAAGAAGATCATCAAAAAGAATTATGGGTCTATTTAGTTTCCTCCTGCATGCTACAAACAAGGACATAATACCCTGTACCACAGTGTGGCCTAGGGTATAAAAATCTGCCCCTGGAAGGTAATTCCCTCCGATATAAGCCCTGCTATTGATCTTCCTTACACAGATTTTTTTTCATGTGCCCAAATCCTTGGTCGCATCCATCCTAGAAATTCTGATCACAAAGCAAAGGAACACTAGCAAGGATCACTTACTTATTAAAGGAGAATAAATATATAAACAGGAATAATAATAGATGCCACCGGCGGCGTTATCGCTGAGTCCTATATTGAAATGCTAGGGTCTGCATTTTTTATACGCTCCACAAAGTGTATATATCTTTTATGCGACCAAAATATGGCGGTTCATACCTAGGTCACTTTTGACCAATGACATACCTAGGGTAAGAGTCCTGGGCCTCATATATTTAGATTTCTGCATAAGGCCCAGTTTAAAAAAAATACTTGTCAGGACATTCGAAGTCGATCTAGGCATGTCTGTCTATCTAGTCCGCTGGTGCGCACGATAACTCTGGAGTTCGATTTGCTTTAAATATGGTATGTTGTGAAATGTTTGCCAACCCTTTTTAAGCGTTTGTAGAAGCGATTCTTAATGTAAAATGGACCTGCCGTAGGTTGTGACTTGAATAGGAGCTTTCCTTGATACATGCCGTAAAAGAGGGACTGGCTACCTAATTTGTAGTGGTTCAAAGTATAAATTCACATTTTGAGGCATCGTTTCACAATATTGAATAACTGGTGTAGTTCTGATATAAGAACCTAGCACTTATTAACTTATGATCTATTGCATTCAAGTTCTAATAATTTAGGCTTGAACAATTCTCCTATCAAGAAATTTAATAATACAAACATATGAAATGGATATGGTACTTACATTAAAAATTCAAACCTTGAATTTAGTATATTTTGTTGCTGTTGTTGTTACCTGAAAAAGCAAAAAAAAAAAATTAAAATTAATCAAATATTGCAATTTTTCCGAAAACCGGAATTTGAGAAAACCTTACAAAAAAAAATAATTTATATGATTATTAGCAGAAAATCTTGAAAATGTATTATTAAAAATTTTGAAACATTGTAGGTAGGACCTGATAGTGACTCATGTACCAATTTTAGTTATAAAATTGATAGGTTCTGAAGCACTAAAGATCTATTAATTAATCACATCAAACTACATTTTTAATAAAAATTAGGAATTTTTAAATATCTTGTCATATAAATATTAAATATATGATAGATAATTTTCCAATTCAAATTTTGTATTTGAAAAAATTTTATATTGAAAATATTCTAAATTTTCATTAAAAATTTTGTTTGGTTTAATTAACTCAAGTTCACCAAAGCAAGATATCTACCGCACTGCTGTAATTCATCATTTCATCCCCTCTGTTCCTTTCCCAATTGAAACTTTCTCCATTATAAAATCCCCTCCTTCACCTGTCCTCCTCTACCCACTTTTAAAAACAAATAATAATCGAATCCAATTTGAAAATAAAAATTGCCATTTTTCCAATTCAATAGTTCCAGAAAAAAACCTAAAAAACCTCTCCGAAACGATTTCACAAAACCCATTGGAAAATGTAATAATTGCTGCAGACTTAAGAGGTTATCTGTGCTCAGTTCTTCCTCTTTGCAAGCCAGCTATTCATAACATGTTAGCACACTCACACAAACACACACACACACATCATTTGCAATAGTATTATGGACAAACATTTTGAACTGAACCAGACCAGACCACATAGGTTTTTATTTTTTCCCCTTTTTTTTGGGGTGTAAAGTTTGATGATTGTTGTCGAGAACCACAGAATTTCAAATTTCCTAGTTGAACACCAACAAAAGAAAAAAATCAGAAGAGGTACAACAACTGACAAGCTTCTCGAACTCAAGGATGCAATAGCAATTAAAAAAAAAAAGTACGGCCCTAACCAACCAGCCATAACATCAATGACACACAGTGGGAGAAGTGAAGGAAAAAAGCTTGAATTTTCAAAAGAAAATTTGCATATGAACTATAGGGATTTAAGAAAGATTCGGACAAAAGATATAATCTTTTAGGTTTCCCAAAACTAGATAACATTCTTCACAGGGTCAGCAGAAAATCTTCTCTCTATAGAATACCTCTCGAAGACTTTTTTCTATAGAAAGTCTTCTATCTTTAGGAGACCTTTAGAAAATCCTCCAACTATAGAAGACGTATGGGTTATCTTTCTAAAGAATACCAGTCAATGGAAGACCTGTAGAAGATCTTCTATCCATATAAGAAGTTCTTCTATCTATTGACGGCCTATAGAAGGTCTTCTATACATTATGGTCTACAATGGCCCTATAAAGACCTACACAAGCTCTTATATCCATAGAAGACCTATAGAAGGTCTTCTAACCATAGAAGACCTGTAGAAGACCTTTAGAAGTTCTTCGATCAATTGAAGACCAGTAGAAGGCCTTCAATCCACAGAAGACCTGTAGAAGGTTTTCTCTGCATAGAAACCAGTGTAAGGTCTTCCGTCTATAGAACACCTGTAGAAGGACCTCTGACTATAGAAGACCTGTAGAAGGTGTTCTGAATACAGAAGACCTGTAAAAGGTCTTCCGACTACAGAATACCTACAGAAAGTCTTCTGACTACAGAAGACCTGTAGAAGTTTCTGTCTATAGAAGACCTTTGGAAGGTCTTCTAACTACAGAAGACCTGTAGAAGTTCATCTGTCTATAGAAGACCTGTAGAAGTTCATCTATCCATAGAAGACTTGTAGAAGGCCTTCTATCCACAGAAGACCTGTAGAAGGTTTTCTCTGCATAGAAACCAGTGGAAGGTCTTCTGTCTATAGAACACCTGTAAAAGGACCTCTGACTATAGAAGACCTGTAGAAGGTGTTCTGAATACAGAAGACCTGTGGAAGTTTCTGTCTATAGAAGACCTTTTGAAAGGCCTTCTAACTACAGAAGACCTGTAGAAGTTCATCTGTCTATAGAAGAACTTTAGAAGTTCGTCTATCCACAGAAGTCCTGTCTACAGAAGACCTGTAAAAGGTCTTCTGTCTACAGAAGTCCTGTAGAAGTTCATCTATCCATAGAAGACCTGTAGAAGGCCTTCTATCCATAGAAGACCTGTAAAAGGTCTTCTGTCTATAGAAGACCTGTAAAAGGTCTTCTGTCTATAGAAGACCTGTAAAAGGTCTTCTGTCTATAGACAACCTGTGGAAGGTCTTCTTTCTCTAGAAGAGCTATAAATGGTCTTCTGTCCATAAATGACCTGCAGAAGGTCTTCCGTCTACAAAAGACCTGTAGAGGGTCTTCTGTCTATAGAAGACCTGCAAAAGATCTTCCGTCTATAAAAGACATGTAAAAGGTCTTCCGTGTACGGAAGACCTGTCTTACGTTTACAAAAGACCTTCTATCTATGGAATATCTGTAGAAGATGTTCTGGCTATAGATGACCTGTAGAATATCTTCTGTCCATACAAGACCTGTGGCAAGTCTTCTATCTACAGAAGACTTGTAGAAGGTCTTCTGACAATGGAAGACTTGTAGAAGGTCTTCTGCCAATAAACGACCTGGGGATGGTCTTCTTTCACAGAAGGCCTGTAGAAGGTCTTCTGACTATGGAAGATCTGTAGAAGGTCTCCTTTTTCTAGAAGACATGCAGATGGTAGTCTCTTTACAGAAGACCTGTATATGGTCTTCTGTCTCTAGAAGATCTGTAAAAGAAGTAGAAGGTCTTTTATTTTCAGAAGACCTCTAGAAGGACTTTTGTCTATAGAATATCTGTAGAAGGTCTTCCATCTACAGAAGACCAGTGCAAGGTCTTCTGTTTACAGGAGACCTTTAGAAGGACTTCTGTCTGCAAAAGACCTGTAGACTGTCTCCCCACTGTCTCTGTCGAAAATATTGGCATTGTTGTTTCCTCTTCAACTCGAGTATGTGTGTGTGTGTGCTAGAGAAGAACAAGCATGTTGCACCAAGAGGTACAACGACGGTGATGACAGCAAACATGCTGCCAACACCACGGCAACCATAACTAAGTTTTGGTTGAATTGTAGTAACAATTTCCTACCTCCTCCTCTCCGCCCTTCTCCTCTCCCCCTTTCCCCCACTTCCACCACAGTGCTAAGCTACCACTTCACCTCGTCTACTGCGACCGCAGAGAATATGAAAACGTAAACTCAGCTATAATTTCCGTTCGATAGTTTGTGAAGCTTATATCCGATTTTTTATTGTTCGCAAAAGATTGTTGGTTTTATTGCAGTTTGTTACCTAAGAAGAGAGAGAGAGAGAGAGATGAGGGGTGGATTCTCTTACAGCCGGTAAGTGGCAACTATGGCAATAAGTTTTTGCGGGCAGGAAGAGGGAAGGGCGGTTTTCTATCTTTTGTTTTGGTAATTTTTGCATATTAACCGGCTTTTCGGAAATGCAATTTTTTTGACAGGATAAAAAAAGAGTTTGCTTTTTGATTGTTTCTTCTTAAGCGTTTTCTTTGTTGCTCCTTACTTTGATAATAAGAAATTAATAATAAAAAATTTAGAAAAAAGCCAAAGAACAAATATTTGCATATTTTCCACATCCGGCCAAGTTCTATTGCCTTGGCTTTGACAGAAAATTCCACGAAAAATAAACGTCAGGCGAAAGAAAGATAATAAACGTGGAATTTATGAATAACTTAAGACAAAGCAGAAGGGGAGAGAGAATAACTTAAGACAAAGCATGATGAGAGAGAACAGCTGAAGGAAATATTGATGCCGTTGCTTTTGAGAGAACATTTTAAAAAGGCAACTATTTTCCTTCCTTTTTTTTGAAAAAAAAAAAAAAAAAAAAAAAAAAAACATTGAAGTGTGAAATTCCTGAGATTTTCCTTCAGAGGATTATCAAGAAGTTTTCTTCATCTTTTTTGGAAGCAATAATATTTTTTTGTAATAATTCTCTTTTAAGTCAATAAAAATATTTGGAGATTATCAAACAAATAAAAGGAAGAATTAGGGGATTTATTTAAGTCCATTGAAGCGGAAGTTCGTTTCAAAGAATAAAAATTTAGTTTTTTTAAGGAGTGGTGATGAAAAAAAGTTTCTGAGTTTCTAAGGAGGTTATGGGAAAATGACAACAATGAAACACCTGGTAGGCAGATTAAGGCTCAAGAGATTGTATATGTTCCGAGAAACTGAAATAAAGGTAAAAAAATACTAGTCACACCATGAGAGATTTTAAGAGGAGGTTTTACCAGAAAGTTACGCATTTATAACCCAAATTTTAAAAATTTACCCTAATTCCAACGATTAAAAAAATCCCATAAAATTTCTCGAAAATACCAATTCCTAAGAATATATTTCAGAACCGGTCTCCCCACCTAAGGACACATTTAAAAATTCTTCCCCACTTTTCAACATTGGACTTTATAATCTCCAATCATCAATATTTTTCCCCCATCCCACAATTTTGCTTCAAACCACTCACATTTCTGATGCGCTGTGATTCCTGGTGGAAAGAGATGAGAAAAAAAAACAAACCAACAACAACAGCAACTGCCACAAAAGTGCAAGTGTGCCACATTCAAGTGAAATCGTGTGTGAAAAAAGACTATTCCATGCAATAAATTTTCATGTGTATGCCGCCCTCCGTTTCCCCTCTCCCCTGGGGCGATGATATGTGTTAGTATGTGAGACAATTTCTGTGACAATGACAGATTTTTTTTTTTTTTGAAGCAAAATGTTTTTCATGCCAATAACATACAGACACAAAAATACATATTTTCATAGCAAAAACAAAACCTGGGAAAAAAAACTATCAGCATCCATCAAGAACTGCGCCATAGACAGGTTGTTAATGGACTGATTCGACTGGTTGCATTCAACAACATGCAATATGTGTGAGAGCAAGGGCCAACGAGAGAGAGAGAGAGGGAGAGAGAGAGAAAGGGAAGTTAAAGAGAGAGAA